TGTAGTTTAGTTTTCAATCCAGCCAAGTCTCTCTCTTTTTCTCTCTCTCCTTCCCTACGTGGGTGGGGGGGGAAGGGGATCGAGAGCATTGTTGCCAATTGACCAACCTGCAGCAGGGAGATGGCCTTCCCTGATGCATACACGATGGACAGCTCTGCACGCTTCCCTGAGGGCAGCAGAAAGAGGCCTTCTGGACATGCACACAAGTGTCTGTTCAGTTTTCAATCCGTCAGGAAACTCAGCAGAATTGTTGCTCATTGCTATCTGAGGGATTCCTCCCGTCAGAGATGGGAATTTGGACACTCCCAATTGATGAAAATGTGTAATCTGGGCTTAAAATCTAGCCCCACGTTGGGCGCCAATAAATTGTTGTCACCGTTTGACTCAGGTCCACAACAATGCTCTCGATCCCCTCCCCCCCCCAACCCAGGTAGGGAAGGAGAGAGAGAAAAAGAGAGAGACTTGGCTGGATTGAAAACTAAACTACACAGCTTTAATTAAAACACTAATGAATGATACAAGAAAATATATACAATTATATACAGATATATTCAGGTATGGGCAAAAACCTCTTGCCTCCCCCCACCCCAGCAACTCCCACAGCACTTCCCTGAACTGGGAAGAGTCCCGAGGAATCCCGGAGCTGCTGCTGGAGAAAGCAGAGAGTTATGGGGGTCAGGAGAGATCAAGCCTGAGGATCGACGGTGATGGATGAACAGAGTCCTCCCTGGACGCTGGCCATGGATGGAAGAGAAGGGAAGAAGAAGGAGGAAGGAAGTTGTCTTCTGTGATCTCTGACCTTCCTTTGAGCTTACGTAGATATATGGAATGGAATATCTTTGGCCAATTTTGCTGTCTGTCTAACTCAGCCTCCTACAGGGGGGTCACAGATCTCCCCATAGTGTCTGAGCCGGCAGAGTGCAGGTGCAGCCTTGAAGCCTCAGTAGTTAGAAAAACATTCCACTGTCTTATCAGCCTAGCAGAACACACTGTTGCTAGTTACAAGAAAGCTTACTGAAGGAAAACAAAATCAGTAAAAAGAAAAATTGGCTTCATCCTGGCTCAAACCAGGACACATCCAAATAAAACCCAAACCAAATTTCATCCACAGATAGTCTATAAATGAACAGCTTATCAAATAAAGTTTATTCAGTGGAAAACACTTTGCTGAAAAAGCAACCAAGCTGAAGTTAAGTTGAATTTTACTTTTACAAACCTGAACAATAAGGAATGAAGCAACTTGGACTGTAATCAAGCTTTTTCATGAACCGAATTTGCCCATTATCCTTAAGGCAAAAGAAGTTTCTCTCACCAAGCACAAAAACAGAAGACACTGCCTGATTAAAGGAGACAACACATATATCCAGTGCTTGCTCTCCAATGTTTAACACCCAATCCACCTTCAAAAGAAAACATGTTTCAAACGTCAGTTGACTGCAACATATTAATGACAAAACTTATAGAGAAGGTCTAGAACTCATCAGGTTACATTAATATAATAAACATTGATATAAAAGCAAAATCAGTTTTTTTGAATGCAAAAGTACTGGTCATCCTCTCATTTTGAATGCAGCTGGTGACTTCATTGTGAGTAAAGCAGCAGAAACATCCTCCACTTTCTGAAATAGTCATTAATTGATGGCTATGCAGTTCACTTCCGTATATTTACATTTTATAATACACATCCCATTCAAAATGAAAATACTTTATGTATTGAATGCAAGAACAGAATATCAAAATCTTTTAAATCCTCCTCTGTACATGTCTTTAGATGTTAAGGCAAAGGCTAGAGAGTAAAGATGGCAGCTTATTCTACCAATACATGTAAATGGAAAACCAGACAGTTTTACATATACAACATATTAATGCTTGCAGTCATTAATGTACACCCTTCAGTCTGAATAATGTCTTTGTATATGATAGCTTGTCTACTTTTCCAACTACATAGGTTGAAATAACAAGCAACTACTTACAAATCCTGCCTATCCTATAACCTTACATTTTTAATACTACTGCTTTTTAATACATTTCATTGTTTTGTTAGATCTTCTGAGAAATTTCAACTAATTCACACAGGCAAAAAATTGCTTTTGATTGCTGACAAGCTGGTTAAAGAGAAACTCAGAATTTCTAAAGTAAAAAAATACTGAAATTCACCTGTCAGCACTTCTCGTATGAGCAACATTAATCATTTTGCTTAAAGAATCCTAAAATGTGTTAGTAAACAAACTGACAATATCTGATACACAAAGCTGGAAAAGCCATCTTAAAAGTCAACGGGAAAAAAAAAAATCAAGCTTATTACATTAATCTCCATGCATGCTTCTCATTTTAGAGTTTAAAAACTAATTTGCATGCTGGTGAAGATTCCAGCTCTTATTTAGAAGTATAGTATGTGCTCTAATTCAAAATTTAGAATTTCAACTGACTGAGTTTGAAAAAAACTGTATGATTAGCCACCAGAAGGAAGATGTTCTCCGAATATTTTACTGTCATACCTGAAATATGCTGAATCTAGCATTTTACACAGTACTTTTAGCACACAAGCTATTCTACTGCAGGACCACAGAGAGTAAAATTCTCTCCCTTAGCATTTCAAACATTAAAAGACTTAGTCACAGGGACCTCCTAAAGACCATTGTATCCACACCTTTTGGACAAAAAAGGTCCAGGATACTGACTATTAATGGAAACATTTTTCACTGCTGAGTTTTCTCTAAGTACAAAGGATTCCCTTAGTAGAATAAGGTTAATTTTCCAAGTCCAATACAGAGCCACAAACTGACTGAAATTAAAAACATTAGCAATATTTCAGATGTATCTATTTTACCACAGTTTAGGTCCTATATTACAAAGACTGTCTTAGAAAGACTTATTTCCAGCACACAGTTCTCTCTTTTTTCCTCATTAGAACAGTAAGTTTTAAGGCCCAACATTAAAACAACTCAGGTCCAAAGAAATCACAATAGAAATCTGCTGGAGGCTTTCTATTGCCTTTAATGGCAACTGGACTAGGTCCTTTGCCAGCAGACGTTTCCATTTGTTACTTAGCATTGCTCTTTTTGAGATGTATGCAGTGTATCACACAGGTTATGTAAAATAAACAGGTTTTACCACAAGTCTCTTTCCAGAACTAAGTTTTTGCTGTTCTGTTTCTTGCCTTTCATCAGCATCTGTCGCAAATGCCAGCACTTGGTATCTGTTATAGGAAGTTAAAAAAAGTTTTAAACAATATCTTTGTCATTAATACCTGACATTAAGTTAAAAAAGAGTATACATGCACAGTAGAAGCAGAGTCTAAAAGGATTGTTAGAAAGTCTACTGCAATGCATCTATCGTGAGGAAAGATGTTAAGATAAATATCACTGTGGGATAATAACTAAGTGCAAAGGCTGAAATTAAACATTTCTACTCAGATTCTATCTAGTGTTAAAATATAATCAACAAATATATTAGAGAATAGAAATCTAGACCACAAAGACAGAAGCAAGAAATCAACATATTTTTTAATTGTGAAATGAAGATTCTAATAGAAAGTACACTTTGTTGCTCACATTAAGCTTTAAAAAAAAAAGTCCTGAACTACCCCAAACTCAAATTGAACAGCAACATGTATCAATGGTCAAGTACCAGCTACCTGTGCGTATGTCTTTAATCACAAAAAACTCAAGCCACAGATAATAAACACAAGCTTTCCATTCAGTTATCACATCAAGTATTCAATAATTTAATACAAGGCATTCTGCTTTTACATCTTGAAATAATTCAAAATCACTAAAAAATATTGCTTTCAAATTAAGGCATTGCTCTGTATGAGCTATAGGAAGATGAATAATTTGAAATTGGGCAATCTGTTTGCTAAAAACACTAGACAGAGCTGTTATATTTTTAATTTACTATAATTAGAAAAAAACAAGTTTAATGCAATCATAGCAATAACCTCTCCATACTACATCTATTTCCTTCACTTTGGAAGTATTACTTAAGTCTACTATAAAGCCCTAATACTTCAGGCACGCTAGAAATTAGTACCACCACATATAGCCCTGGGCACTAAAAACCAGTAACTAAGTGAAGAATTCCTTTAAAATACACCTTCCTATAAAGAAGACAGTACACTTCTGAATCAGTGGCTGACTGAGGTAAAGTTTTAGCCATATTTGCTGTAAAAGTCAAGAATCTAAACATAATGAAAATGCATGAGATATTAAAGAAAAATATTTCTTTATTCCCTACCAATATTAATAAATTCTTGTTTTATCTTAGGAAAAATAAAAATTTTCTAGTCAATTACTTTTACTTGTAATACATATCTTCTCCTGTATTAAGGAAACAATCCGCAATGCCTATAATCTGCTCATGGCATATTCAGAACCTAAAAACCATCCAATCTGACCTAAGATTAAGCAGCATAATAAAAAGATTACCACTTGAGAAACTCAAGTGATAGACTGGAGTAGTGTGACAAATCACTGTCAGATTTTCCATCCCCCAGATTAGATTCCAAACACGATCTGTAAGAAGTGACATTCTTATTTTCTTTAATATGATTACCTCTGAAAAAAATTAAGGTACTTATAAGCCTATTCCTCCAGCTTGATGAGATTCCTCTGAATCACCTTTAGTTGCTAGTTAAAAACATGGATGACTACTCAGTAAGGCTGACAGCTCTGCCACCTTTTCATCCATTTTTTAGGGTTTTTTTATCATGGGTAGCAGCTCTGTCCCCAGCACTGCTAGGCATAGATTCAAAAAGCCTAAGAGCAAACCTTGACAGTTTTAATGGAGACAGGATGACGAAAAGCAAACATTAAGTTCCTTAGTCTTTTCACAACTTTGTAAAGTTGCCCAAGCTGTTCAGTACTGGGTCAATTTCCTGGATCTTCCTTTTATACCTGAGGTATCCATGCAATTCCTTGTACTTGAGACACTCTACCAGTAGAAGTTTTAATCAAGCTTGTATCTTCTCAGTACCATCCCCCTGCATGCCCACATTATGCTTATATTCTTCCTTAGTAGTCCATTTTAACCTCTATCTCATACATTCCCTGTTTTCTATTTGAACCTGTCCTGTCAGGCTGCCTTCTGCTACATCTTATTTTTTTTTAACATCAAAATGGGTCTTTCTTGAGAAGGTTATCCATGAAGATTCACCAGCTCTCCTGAGCCCTTTTGCATTTCAGGGCAGCCTCTCATAAAATCATGCCTACCAGCTACACTGAACAAGCCCAAGTGTGCTCTCTTGAAATCTACAGTCTTTCATCCACTGCTTATCTTCCTCACTTCTCTCAAGACCTTAAACTTATTAACATATCAAGGGCACTGCAGTCAACATCTGCAGCTCTCAATAGCAGATGCTGATTACTTCTCTGAATATTTACTTCACCTAAGTTGTAGATTCAGCAAAGTATCTTTTCTAGCATGACTGCCTAGCACCTACATTAAAAAAGCTTTCCCTAATGCACCCAAAAAATCCTCCACACTTCTGAAGCCATGATGTTGCCCTCCTAGCAGACATTAGTCCTCCATGAGAACAAGGGTCTTCAATTGGGGAAACTTGTTTAGAAAAGGCTTCATAGCAGTCATGCACCACAATGTCCCCTTCCTCAAGCATCCATCTAGTTCGCAACAGATGAACGCTTAATAAATTCTTAACGTGGTGGTTCCATAAGAGAGCCTCATGCATTAAAGCTGTTCCTCCATGGTGAACACAAACATCCCCTCATCTGTCATTTCTTCCTGAAGACCCAGGAGCCACTGATTGCAACTCCTTAGCCATGCAAGCTACCTGCCACATCTAACTGCATACACAACTTCTAGCTCCTCTTCTTTGTTGCCAAGGCTGGAAATGTTTGTAAAAATACACTTAACATGAGCCCTCACTCATCCCACCTCCTCTAAGGTATTATGAAAGCACCTCCCTTTGTGCACTTGACCCTTATACCCTGTTCCAACACTTAAATGCTGGATTTTGTACCTATTCCTCAGTCTAGCAGCTAAGGAGGTTAACAAGCCTCCTCTGCTGCTTTGCCAGGCGGACTCGATTTCTCCCCACCAGTCCTCATTTCTGTGAGAGGACCCTACGACCACAAAAGCCAAAGCCATGTCTCAAATGTTGTCTGAAAACTGAACAGATTCATCAGAATAACAGCTATTTCCATCAAAATAAAAAAAAAAACAACTGTTTGAAACAACTGGAAAGCAACACTGTAAGCTCAGATTCAGTGAACTGAAGCAGGGAAAAAACTGGCTCTTGCACAACACCATGATGTGCCTTGATAGGCTAAAAAACAGCACGTTTATACAAATAAAATTGGACCATGAAGTCCTCAGTAGACACAACAGGCTTTCTTTTATGACTCTATAGAGACAATATTCACTCAACAACATGAAACATGCTACTCTTCTTTCCTGCTACTCCCTATCATCTGCTTTGGCATATATTATTAGTAAAGGCAATTATTACTTTAAATTTGTTTACATACTAAATGACATCACCAAAATATGCTATAATTACTGAACATGAAGACATACTTGTAACTCTCAACCTGTTGACAAGATGACACTGTAATGAAAGAATCTGTCCGAGAGCAGTAAGTCAAGGGACCAGGTAGAAGAAAACCTGGTAAAAAACGGCCAAAAGCATAGCTTTCCTGTTCAAACAACATGAGCATCCCATCCATGGACTGTATGCATATCATATCTCGACCTAAGGAACACAAAAGAAAGAAATAAAAAGGAAACCAAGCAATATTATTTACATAGTTTTAATCCTAGAACTGTTAACAAATTTAAATTGTACTTATATGTGACCCTAACAAAAATAAGACTCATCTTAATTTACATGGGTGTTTACTATGAGGAAGAACACTAAATATTGCAACTTCAAAGCTTACTTACTCAAACCAACTAGATCTTTTGGGAATAACATTCAGAATACATTAAGAGAAAAAAAAAAAAAAGAGTTAGATATTGTATTTCAAACCAAAATTTCTAAAGATACCACTACTATAATTTTGGTTTAAAAGATGCTTCAAGACTTCCCCAAATCCCAACTTACTCTGGTTCTCAAATGCCTCTACGCCTTACAAGCAGTCTTAACAGCTGTGGTTTAAGAATAACCTATTCTCTTCTTTCAGGTCCACTTAAACTATGTAACAAAGTCCTGTAACTATGCATTCTGGATGAAAATAATACAATGGTAACATTCTCCACAGTTTGCATTCACATTTTTTGTCTTCAAGGAAAGGAAAAACAAAACAGACTCATTCAATGTTACGAGAAAACTTACAGGGGAAAAAAGATGATGTGGCTTTTGTGACAGTGATGTGGCTTTACATCTCTGGAATTTAAAGTTAAACCTCAACATTGTGGCTCAGGAATTATTCTATAGACATGAAAGACCCAAATAAGTTGTCTGCTCACTAGAACTCCATCCTCAATCCTTTAGGAACTGTTTTCTAACATTCAAAGGTGAAGCAAAAATAGGCTAAAACTTCATTCTTACACTTATAGAGTTTCAAAGGTCAAAAAGCTACTCGGTATCTGAAAAACCAACAAATGTAAAGTACAGCACAAAACATTGTTTATCTCCTCTCTGATTCTTCAGAGAAGAACCCTGTTGCAAATATCAACCATTTAATAGGAAGGACATTCAAAAGCATAATTGATGTAGTTCATTTGGTAAAGTTGAATCAGTCTTGAGCAAGCAAGTTAAAATGCTTCAATCCTTCATACCAATTATTATCTAGACAGATATGCAAAACAATTCCAACAGTGTAATTTCAGGAGCACTGATGGCATCTCAAGTGCTTACCCAGAACACCCATTTCTTCCCTTGTGTTCTACATCCACCTTTTCTGAAAACCTTTCAAGTCATTCTTATTTAATGGAGTTGGTTTTGCTGTTTGAAAACTCTGCAAATGCATACATTTTGAGCGATAACACTGACAATATCAAACATTTTGCTTTAGCAAGGCAGTAATAGCATTTCCAGTAATCAAATTAATAAATTAAAACATAGACAAGAATTTTATTCAGCATTGGAAAAATCCCTTATTCCCTAGTCCTGTAATCAAATATCCTTGATGGCTTCAAAAAGAAACTTCACTGACAAACAATGAAAACTCACCTTCCTAAGCTGAAAAATGTCAGAATGTGCACTAATAAACTAGTATGTTATACAAAAGCAATTCTATGTGGAACTCATTAAAGTACTGCTCAAAAGTAGTCAGACAGATTTTGCCTGATACTGAAGTAAAACCAATATATCTTTGAGTTTTTTCTACTACTGCAAGTGAGAAAATGTAAAAATATCATCTTTACAGCAGCTCATTAAACCAGTGACCACTTGTCACTAACAACTTCAGTTTGATGATTTAAGTCTCAAAAGTCTCATCTATAACATTCTCAAGTTTGTACGGCTACACTGGAAACTTGAAACACTTTTAATGTTTCCTCTATGTGCAGACTGAAGTCATACACCCTTTTAAGAAAAATGTAAACTTTACCTCTGTTAACAACAAAAGTCAATGAAGAAACATTTCCTGTGACTAAATGTAATAATTTTTGAGAGAATGATGGGTTTGATATAGATCTTCAAAAGCATTTTTTTTAAACAGACCAATTGTTTTAGAACTATGATTTTCCTGGGTTTTTCTTCATAGACTTTTAAAATTATAAAACAGAGTCTAGGGCTTCTGTTCAATTTTAGACTTAGTTTATAAAATTAGAAACAATCTGCAATATACAAATACATTAGATATGTACCTCTCAATGTGCATAACTAGTACATTTTGTCTGAAATTATTTGCACAAAGCAGTTTTATTAAGTCTTTAAGGATCATTTAGACTCTTAAATGTTCTTCATAGGACAGATTCCCAAACAGTGTGCCCAGGTGGCTAAGAAGGCCAACAGCATCCTGGCCTGCATCAGGACTAGTGTGGCCAGTCAGAGTAGAGAAGTGATCACACCCCTGTACTTTGCACTGGTGAGGCTGCACCTCAAGTATTGAGTCCAGTTCTCAGCCCCCCACTACAAGAAGGATGTCAAGTTGCTGAAGTGTGTCCAGAGAAGAACTGCCAAGGTGGTGAAAGGTCTGGAGAATAAGTCCTATGAAGAGAGGCTGAGGAAACTGGGATTGTTTAATTTGAAGAGAATCAACAGGATAAACTTTATCACATTAAATTCTATCTGAACATAATTTAATATTTTATTTTTTTTACTGTTGAAGGCCTTCAGACCCTGGAACCCATTGTCCAGGAAGGTTATGGAGTGTTATTTCTTGGACATATTCAGAACACAACTGAACACAATCCTGGGCAGCTTCTTGCTGAACACCTGCTTGGGAAGTGGGATTGAACCAGACAATGTCAAGAGAAAAATAACTCAGATAAGGCATTTAAAGAAAGTATTCCATCTTTCATCTCTGATTCACTCAAAAGCACTAGGGTAAATATCTGTTTCTCTAGGCTGTGAAATTTCATAGGACTTGCACATACTCCTGATCAACATACAGTGGAAACCACTATAAAACCTGAGATGTTTTCCACTGGTATCATTTAACACTGATAGCATGCCAGCTTCCACCTCCCAACAGCTGCTGACATCATACTGGCTGACAGTCTAGAAGTGTGAGTTACCCAGCTGTATCATGAGCAACCAGTAAAAATACTCTGAAAAAAACTTGTAAAAACACTGATAACTAGTAAAAGGTGCTAGCCCACTTAGTTGCCACCACAGTCTCTTGGGTATAGTTCTTAAAGTGTAGTTATGGGCTATTAGAAATAACTAGTGGCACTTTCAATTGGCTCACAAGAAAATAGAGTTTCATAATCCATGTGTCATGTGATCAGTTATTCTAAATCTGCTACCTCAAAATCACATATGCTCATATTCAGCATTCAAAGGCACACTGAAAACCCTCTCAATACTTCACATTAGCTAACCATTCAGTTCCAATTCTATTTTACACCTTTATTAAGAATACAACCCTGTAAGTCTGATTCTATATAGAGTCTTCAACACCTCTTCTACAGTTTCCTATGAATTTTCCTACCATTAGCAGTGTGCTACAGAAGAAATCTGCAGCTGTCTGCCCTATTTGCAGATCCTTAACTTTCAAAGTCTAGCTTCAGTGGAACTCCCTGGTACCTGAAGAAACCTGAAGACAAAAAGATCAGCCGGAAAAAACGTTTTTTAAAGGCACAGTAGAACACATTTCTACTTTTTTTAAGGCTTATTTTTCAACTTTTCTTCCTAGAAAAGTATAGATAACACCAGAAAAATCCTCAGAATTATAACATTGTGCGTAAGTCACCAAAAATTAACAGGATTTTTTTGCAATGCTTCTATTCTGCTGTTTTGAAATATTCTAAATATTGATATATCATAAGATTAAAATACATTTACTTATAAAGTGAATGCCCTGATTAATACAGAATTCATATTTTGTAATACGAATTTAATCTACCTCTGGTTACACTGATGGTAGTGAGAAAGCTATCTTTTAGACAGCATCTGGACACAACCTTCAGGGTTTCAACTTTTCTAAAATATACAATTTAGTTATGTTCTGTTCTTCAGATATATTTGATATGCAGTGGTAATCTAGTGTACATATTACAATTTTTAAAAGTAATGGTCAATAGAGGTGCTGAAGTCTTACTGTTTAAGTAGTAATAGCTTCTACTCTTCAGTAAATAATTAATATCAATCTTACTCTTACCAATTTCATTACATCAGGAAAATGACTAACTGAAAAACAACAGCACACTTTACAATATATGTGAAGCTACATGTCATATCAGACATGGAAGCATTCATCTTTAATAATCACTAATCACACAGACAATTTTTAAAATATCTACTATTTTAACAGTAGTGATACAATTGAACATGACATACTATGGCAAGTTATTTAGAGCACTCCAATGATCTCCAAGCCTATTACAGTACTGAACTATATGATCTGAAGAAACAAATATACATCAGGCACCTAAGATTGAATTAGTAATCACTTTTTGCCTTTAAAAACACAGCATCACTTCCTAATATACCCACCACTTTGTTAATCGTATTTGTGCTGCTCCTACTCATAATTTTCAATTTTGGATTTTTAACTAGCTTGTCCTAGTGGATCAAACTCCAATAATTCAAACTATTACATGTTAAGCATAATTAAGTAAAATTGTGTATGAACTTTTATTTTCCAGCTTTTTATAGGCCATCTTATTTCCTTTGGCCATTTGTTTTTAATGTGCAGCTAGTGAATGGTGTTCTTATGTTTCACTTTAAGAAATGTAGTCTTCCAAAAGCTCAGCCAGAAATGTCCATTTCTAAAAAGCTTATTACAGCCAGTTGGCTTTGTCAGTGACATATTTATAAAGTGAAAATATAACCCATAGTGTTTTCTGCAGATCAGATGGAATCACTTAGTGTACTCTACATAGTTTCAGCAGCTTGTGCCTCAAGAGGAATGTGCCTCAGCCAGAAAGTGTTACTTTTTAAGCATAAGTCAAGCTACTGTTGTTTTGTAGTTTTGTTATTCTAGCGTGATATGAATACATTCACATCACACTTTTTAACCCCAATGTATTTTTAGAGCTAATGCAAAGCCGAAATGAGAGGCAGGTGGTAGCACTTTGAAATAAGCTTAGAATTAAAGCTATTTTGAAGCTCAAGTTCTTTGCATGTTAATGATGTCCTCT